ATGTTGCTATTCATGTTAAACAATATATATATATATAAATATATATATATATATATATATATATATATATATATATATATATATATATATATATATATATATATATATATATATATATATATATATATATATACAAGTGGATGAGACTTAAAAATAATCCTATTTACAAAGCACACGATTTTTATAGTGGCCATTTTTGCTTTATACAAATAATAAAGTATTTCTCGCATAAACACAAATTACATCGATTTGAAGCACAGTTATAAGGCTTAGCTCGTTTCAATAGTTTCCAATTGATTATATAATCGATTTTTCGATGTTTTAATTCCCACACGTATTTACTTAGTTCAATAGCGTTCCGTTTGTCGAAAGAGATGAATGATGCTTTATGGTTTGCAAGTCTTGATTTGAACGAGTTTTCTGTAAGTCGTCGGGGAGGTCTATTTGTAGTTTTGTTGGGGAGGTCTATTTGTAGTTTTGTTGGGGAGGTCTATTTGTAGTTTTGTTGGGGAGGTCTATTTGTAGTTTTGTCCTTAATATATAGTCACTGTGGCTTCATATACAACCGATTCTGTGATACATTTGTTAAACATTGGGCACAGTTCTTTATTGTTTTTAGGGCAGCTACACATGTCAAGGCTACTCGGGCTAGAAGTTGTAGACAACGTTGATTTGTTGTGTCCGTCGATAGTCTGCTTGATGTTTGGCGTACAGCTGTAGCTGATCTTGTATTACGGTTGAATATTTTGTGTAGTGGTAACCTGCGATCAGGCCTATAAATAAATAAATAGGCCTGATACAAACCTTAACAAAAGTCCAAGCCGTACGTACCGTATATCGGTTCTAAATCTGCATGGTCTATGAGACAAAAGATTTTTTAATCTGTCATTTGATTGGTTGGTGCTAATTAGATTATACTATTGTTGTTGATATATTTTATTGTGATCACAACTATAATTATACTGTTGTTGTCGTAGTGTGAAATTTAAATATCTCCTGCGATATAAACTTTGCTGTGGGTGGAAAGCGATGCATTAAGGTTTGTGTCAGGCTATTATTTGTAAAATAGAGCCCTGATACTCAGGTTGGTGTAGTCAGTGATCTGCGGGGAATTCCTCAATTATTCTCAAGAAAGCTGTCCAAGATTAGTCGAAACATTTTTACTATATGCATGGTGGATTCGGTGATCACCGCCAAAATTAGTTCGCGAGATCCGGCAGTACCTGCATGCCATTTGATACTACTCACGCGACATTCGGATCGGCGATTTGATTGGATACTAAATATAAACTTTGCTGTGGGTGGAAAGCGATGCATTAAGGTTTGTGTCAGGCTATTATTTGTAAAATAGAGCCCTGATACTCAGGTTGGTGTAGTCAGTGATCTGCGGGGAATTCCTCAATTATTCTCGAGAAAGGCTGTCCAAGATTAGTCGCAACATTTTTACTATATGGTGGATTCTGTGATCACCGCCAAAATTAGTTCGCGAGAGTCGGCAGTGCCTGCATGCCATTTGACACTACTCACGCGACATTCGGATCGGTTTACATCCATTCGCCAATGCTTACATGTCATTCGGATTGGCTTACATGCCATTCGCCAATGCTTACATACCATTCGCCACGCGAACACGCAATCAATATGGACGGCGGATTATTTCAATATGAGCCTTGCGAACACACACTACTTATGATGAGCGGGTATTCGCTGAATACCTAAAGTTTGTCGATTGTTAAGGTCCATTTCCACTCAAGAAAAATTTCCATGGACAGAAAATTTTCCGAAAATATCATTGTTAAAAGCAAAAATTTTCAACTTCAAATTTTTTTTCCGACGGAAAATCTGTGTCAGTCAATCACATTTGCTGAAATTTGTAGTGTGTTTACGTATAAACACATGAGTGTTTTCTCTTTTAATATCTAGTCTTATAAGACTGTTTTCTCAGTTCATATATGATCGTTTTCTTTTCTTCGGTAAGCGAAGCTTGAGAAATTTTATATTAGTTTATTTTGGTTATGGGTGGAAAAAGGGATCAGATAATAAGTTGTCTTATATAAAATCTATCAGGTGATTAGGGTACGTAGATAAAACATGAGGATAACAGGGAAGAATAGTTTTGAAGTTTAAACAGTTACGATATATGTGTCGTTTTCGGGGGAGTAAACATTTAGAAATATAGTCCCTCTGAAATGGCATTTTCAACCATGCCTAAAGGAAAATACTGCATTACCCTATAAATTTTACAATTCTCGAACATTCTTTACTTGAAATACAACTTTTGTATCTTGCTTGTTTGGGTTATAGAGACCTCTAGCATATATGCTACTCGCACTAGTTGTAATCAAAGACTAATTTATTGATAGAATTAAGTAAATATATATACAAGCATTGACAGGCAATTAGGATATATGATATGGGTGTGTGTGTGAAAGGTTAAGCCTGGAATGAATTAAGTACAGGATACAACATTCCTCCCCTGTTTAGTAACTTGCTAGGTTGAACTATATATATTTGATTCCTATTGCTGATTGTTCGTAATTTGAATTTCGTACCATTGTTCTTGCTAAATTAACTAAATTATCTATGTGCTTAATAATGCCAGATTCTCTTAGCTTAGGTGTCCATTATTCAATATCTAAGGCGATCTGGGACGGTTTTCTCTCGTGTGGATCTGCGGAGCGGGGTTGGGTCTGGTTGGATGATGGGAATGTTTGGGTTGCTGTCTGGTGGGGTTTCTTCAGTGGTGCTTTGTGGTGGTTGGAATTCTGCAACGAAATCCTCGTCTTCTACGTTGTTCGGTTCTGATGTGGTCCAATATTTCTTGACATGAGAAGAGTTTCGTCGGTGCTGTTTACCATGGAGATCTGTTAACACGATCTGTGTTCCGTTGATCTTCGTGATTGTCATCGGATCTTTGCAAAACTTTGTCGAATACTTGTTTTTTTTCTTCTGTTTGACCAGAACTTTATCTCCTACGATCAATTTTCGTTCCGCTGCATGACGTTTCTTGTCGGTGTATGCTTTCGCTTTGGACTTCTCGTTATCGTCTTTTCTTCGCACTTCCTCGTGCCAATCTGTTGGTTGGTCCACCGTGGAAATTGCTGGGATCTTGGTTCGAAGTTCCCTCTTCATGAGTAGTTTTGCTGGGGACTGTCCAGTGATTCGGTGGGGTGTGGTTCGATAGTGGAGAAGTAGGTTTGGTAGTGATTCTCTCCAGTCCTTTTGCTCTGCTTGTGCTGTGAGGACATGTTTCTTGATGACTCCGTTGAATCGTTCAACTTGACCATTTGCCTGTGGCCAGTATTCGGTC